TCACTTCATCACTTGCACATATACACTTCACTCCCCAGACGACAGCTCCACAAGTCTACTTTCCCTCTGCGTTCCACTACATGTGTGCCGCGGGCTCCGGCGCTGATGCTGATGTTGCGGCTGCTGCGGTGCGAGATTCTGACCTGGTTTCATATCAAATAAGTCTGAGGCACAGACTGTTCCAGACGTGTGGAGTAGATGGTTGGGGAAATGCAAAAGATATAAATCCCATCATGGATCAGTGAAAAGACTGCATTTATTAACATGCTTAACAAACCATACACATGAAGATAACTAAAACAATTCCATTGTTTTATTATTTTCATCAATCATCATCTTATTTGTGGTAACTCCATTTTCACTATATACTTTGGGCCCAGATGTGAGTCATGTGACAGGGCTTTTTGCCCACCCAATACAAAAAGAGCCATCTCAAGCGGCTCATTAGATGAAGAGCATTTGTGAATAGCAGTTTGTAGATCTTTCCACTGATTTCCACTTGGATTTATGGCCAGATTTTGACTGGGCAATTCTAACATGGTTATGTTTTGTGTTCAAACTTACTATTGCATGATAAGATTTTATGTTAAGGGGAGGTGATGGAAGGTAAAGAGTCTGAACAGTACTCTCTGAGATGTTCAAAGCTTGGAAGATCTTTGTATAACAGTGATTTTAAGTCCTTCACAGCTTTTTTCTCTGACCTCTTTGATGTGATCTTTGGACTTCATTATGATAAAAGTAAAAAGTTCATAATGTCTTCCTTTAATGTTTAAAATAGCTGTCTAAGTCTTAAGCTTCATGATGCAGCTTAGTATGTAGCAACATTTGACCATGCATCAGGAAATTGAACTTAAAGGAAATTTAATCTGGAAAAAAGATGTATGAGAATGATGCCTTTTGAGTAATGTTTGGATGTAATTGAATTTTATTTTTATTTAATTTTTTTCAAAAAGCAATTATAAAATTATGCCAAGAAATAAAATATATAACAACAACAATATTTTTTTGTGGTTGTAAGATCACAACAGGTTCATGGGGTGTGAATTTGTTTTTGAAATTTTGTTGAAATTTCCCCACTTTTAAGGCAGTGTTTATACATTGTAATCTAGAGAAGGAATCATATTCACTGTGTTCTTCTTTTTTACCCTTTTAGATTTGTTTACCCTGTTACAACATTGTTCCTCATTTAAAACTAGTAACATTAATTAAAAATAATGTCAATGTGCCTTCAATTAGATTGTGCCCTGTTTGAATGTGAAATTATGAGAGCACATGTAATCCCAATTTCCTGGACCAGAGAGCGTTCGTGCTTTAGTTGTTGATGAGTGCAGCGGTCCAGGTCACACTGAAGCCCTCTCTACACATTGTGATGCCAGCAGGTGAGACCTGATGACCTTTAGACCTGTCCCCTTGAGTCCTGGTCTCACTTGTCCCGGTGGGACTGTGGCATTTGTTCACTCGTCTGGATTGATCCGAGCTGATTTCCTCACATCTGAAACAACAGCAGAGCGGTTTAAACCAAGCAAACACAGCACAGAGGAGGTGGGAGGCTCCTGGCAATAGAATCATGTGTAAATCTGGACTTGTCTGAATCATAAGTAAACAAACATTTGAGAAGTGAAAAAAAACACTTAAACTGGAATATGATTCAGAATATGTTTGTCAAAGTCTACACAGAATTAGCAGATAGGGTGATGGATTGGATCTTTGCAAACAACATTAACAATAGCTCATTAGCTTGTCCTTAAAATAGATTTGAATGTCACTTCCAGAGACACGCTCAGGTATGCTCATTCATGTAAATGGAAAATTAGTCATTGTGAAAGGCCCATTACTTGTGTCATCAAGGACTCTATTTAAACCCTGAAAAGAGCACTAACTTGAACGTATAGCAGAATTGTTTTACAGTTGCAACTGGTAATGAAATTAGATTTGCAGTTGATTAACTTGATTGACTTGGGATTGTCTTCTTGTGTTTAGATATGATATTACTATAATTATAATGAACTGACTTTGACTGTATAATTAGGACTGAGCCTGTACATGACATTCATCTGTAAATAGTCAAAACTGTAATCAGGTTCAAAGTGCAATACGGCAATTGTATAATGTCCACCTAATGTCACTGTATCTATGTATCATGCCCCATGCTCCACGCTCCCACTGTCTGTCTACACCGCTACTATTTTTTTCATTTTCAATACTAATATTCACCTTTTCCCAAATTCCCTCCCTGATCTCCCATAAAGTGTATCTTCAGGTGTTTTGGTGAAACTTCTTCCTTTGAAATATTCGCCTGTCGGCTGTCGAATTTCTGATTATGAATCCAATTAGTGCTGGTGTTTCTTTCTGAGCGCAGCATCCCCAAAGCCAACGTGGCGGCTTCACAGCGGCAGCACTCATAGTGGACAGACCCACGCTTGCCGCCATCCTGCTCATCGCTTTGTTAAAACGGCGGGTTTCCACGACAATTACCAGATTCTGTAAATATAAACCGTGTTGTGGGATAAATGTAAAATTCTTTCCAACGTTTTTGGCTGTTATTCTGTTATGTGCATTGTGTGTAAAAAGGAAACAAGTTTTTACATATGGTTAAAACATTTCTATAAGTCTTGTTTTTTACCTATAAAACTATTAATGTTTAAACTATAAAGCATTTTCTGTTGCATATTTGTCTGCAAAGGGAACATTTTCAGACAATCAGAACTATTGCATTGCCAGTAAGAGGAAATCACAAACTAGGAATTTGCTTTAGTATATGGTGCGAACAAGTAATAGTTGTTCGCACCAAATAGTCAGTGATAGACATTAAGGCATGCAAACAATTTTAATGTATACATTCTCACAATAGACATTTAACTCAGAAAATCATACAATGTCTTTTTCGAGAGCCAGTTGTTGTTTGTATGCTAATTAGTAGAAGCTGCAATCTAAAGCCGATTTGGGTTAACTCTAATCCTTTTGGAGCGTGTTTGAGTTAGCTCTAACACCAATTCCACAATAAGTCAAACACACATCGATTTTCAGCACTCAATCAGCCTACTCTGCTGACCACCATCCATTATTTTTTACTTTATTACCATTTTCCTACTCAATATGCAATACATGGAGGGTTTGGCTGGAATGAAAGGGGAAAAATGTGATGGTCACTAACTTGATCTATACTCTGAGTAAGGTCTTTGATGTGACCATGTTTCCGCTGACTTTTGATAAAGGGGTTGAACAACGTAATCATAGACTCTCACTATAAACAGGCTGTATACAGTGTCATGTTGTATTCCCTACATTGCTCCCGTGTCTCTGATCTTTCCTAGTAATTTTTCCGGCGTTTACTTCTCTGTAAATCACACCCTAATCTTTGTTCTAATGTCGTTCTTTTATAATTTCCTGTAATGCTTTATTATGTTCGACTGGACATTCCCAGTGCGTGGTCAATCGTTTCATTTTCCACTGCCGTGCTCGAAGCGCCGCGGGCTATCAAGCGTTGGTCTGCAGGCGGTGGCGGGAGTGGCAATAAGGCCTAATTCATTTACTTAAGAGCTTTCCACGGGGGTTTAGGAGCTAATAGGACCATCATTCCACACTGCATTTGATTAAAGTCTCTTAATTACCCCAGGTATAATGGGCTATTAGCACAGGCCCAGTCGTGAAAGGGCAATCGGAAGAGAATTGTTTTTACGACCTGCTTTTTGTTCACCTTTCCCTAAGTCCAGATTATTGGCTTAAAGCATTTGAACTCAGGCCCTCTCCGAGGCATATCTGTGTCTTCAAAGTGCTGATGCATGTGTGCGAGGTAATCCACTCCCTCTTATGAGAAGGCTGCGTTGTCATTCATTATTGAAGCACTGATGATTGCCTTTCAATAATGTTCTAGGCAGTCCTAGTTCCCCATAGGCATTTAAAGATACACTTGTATTATTAGTGTTGCTCCGTGCTGACTGGGATGTGGCCATGGCTGCTCTATAAAGCCGGACTCTATAAACCCAGACTCCCTTATTTACGTACACTGGTGTCATGGTTTGTGTGTTTATGAAGTTGTGGCGGTAAACCCTTTTTTTCGTTTTAATATTATGGCCTATGAGCTTTATTACAGGACAGCACGGCATGAAATGAGAGAAAAGTCTTTGACTGAATTCAGACTGACTGAATTCATTTATTTGGTGCAAACTGTCTCATGGAGAAGGATTCAAAGCAACGTTAAAACGGCTGAAATAACCTTTAGTTAGCTTCATATGCATTTAATCCAAGTTTTTTTTAAAGATACATACTATGTCACTATGTTTTTCAGCTCCATCTGCAATAATATGAGAAACTTATGACATACGGACACAAATAGGGCACAAACAGGTCCCCTACCTCTTCTGTCTAAAGCAGGGGTGTCCAAAGGTTTTTGTTTAGAGGGCCACTTCAGTTCTCCAAAATTATCCAGTGGCCAACAACACAGATTGATAAGATTTGGTCTGTTTTAAACCCAAATCCCTAACCCTAACCCCTTAAAGTGAGGATATGACTTGTATAAATGCAAATTTTATTGAGCTGAAGTTGGCTGAATGACAAATGTCTACTTACCACCAGGTACATTAGTGTCATACAATAGAAAAATAAATGTTGGTACAGTAAAACAAAGATGACAACTGGATTCCAGAGATCTGAGCCTCACAACGAGGTATGACATGTCCATGCTGGTAGTGCTGAAGTTGGCTGGATGACACTGTGTTTATGATCTCAAACATGTTTGGGAATGTCTGGTGTAAATGCTCTGTCTTCAACTTGTTACAATACATCAGGTGCTGAGCTGTTTGCCTTAAAAAAAAAAAAAAAAAAAAAAGTTCGGTAGCAACAACAACAGAAGAACCAAAATTATTGATTTATCCAGATTGTGCCTGGATGGGTAAATGTTTATTACAAAACCAGCATGCAATTACCCATGTCTAGGCTTTTTCATAAGACAAACATTGTTGACCAATAGTTCTATAAAACAACCTTCCTTCTTTCCGCAGGCACTTTCTGTTTAAGACGGGCACAGGCTCCACCCCCTTCTTTGGCGCCGCTGCTCCCGGATACACGATGGCCACGGGCGCTGTGTACTCAACGCCAGCCCGGCCCCTCCCCAGGAACACCTTGACCAGAGGGGCCTTCAAGTTCAAGAAGTCCCCCAAGCACTGCTCCTGGAAGTGCACGGCTCTGATCGCAGTGGGCGTGGCCGTGCTGCTGTCCGTCATCCTCGGCTATTGCATCGGTAAGACTGAAGCTCCACTGTGTGTCCTCCTCTTACACCTCCTCTTGAGCAACTTTTTCACTTCTTCTTTATTATTTCTCATAATTCAGCTGAAACAACACCTGTTTTTCGCTGTACGCGTTTCTCCAAGAAGACTTCAGGATCTCCATGGTTACACAGTTGGACAACATTTTATGCAGTTGTAGAAGTATATACGAACTTGAGAGCGGGAGATATTGTATCAGTCTACATTCCACACTTTGAGTAGTACATTTGCTTTGAAATTTATTATCTGATTCAGGACCCCCGCAGTGACAAAGGATATAAGATAAATTCCAGAGCCATGGGTTGGAGTGTGGGGTCAAACTTATATTATATGTGGTGGTAATATGTGGTTGGCTGAAGAAAAGGAGGCGTGGCCCTGCTCTTTAACTTCACTTAAAAATTCATTAACCGTATCTTTATTAAGCTTTTTCAGATAAATCAATGTAATGTCCATGTGGCTCAACATGTGCTGCTTTCATAGTGTTGTAAAAAATTCACCCTAACCCTAACCCACAACTTTTTTACTTTAAGCAGGACAGTACTGTGGTGGGAGACCTCGGGGGACACCAGGTGCCACAGGGAGTCTGCTGTGGCTGTAAAGTTCCAAATTGTCAATGTGTCCATAGGCAAGATACTTCACCCATATTGCTTAGATTGAGTCAGAGGGACTGTGCACTGAGTTAATTAATAATTCCATGTGAGGCCTTTTTGAGTGTCCAAAAAGTGCTAAATAAAACCAATGTATTATTATTCTGCACCCGTTTTATATGGTGCTTTTTTGGACACTCAAACGCTTCATTCACTCCTTACACAGTGGTTATAAACTACCACTGTAGCCACACCTGCCCTGGAGTACACTGACAGAAGCAAGGCAAACAGTATGTGCCATCAGCCCCTCCGATAACCGCCAATCATTCATGCATTCACCAGACTCTGCTAGGCAATGTGGCTGAAGTGTCTTTCTTAAGGACACAATGACAATTTGGCATTTTAAAGCTGCATTCCACTGTCGCGCCCGGTGTTCCCAAAGCAACATCAGAATAATCACCAGGCCTTGCTCTGCTTAGCTTCAGAGGTCTTATAGGATCTAGATTTGCACACAGGCGGTGCCACAATAGCATAGTTTGTTTTATACTTGTCCCACACTCAGCCTTTTCCCCCCACAGTCAGTCTTCTCTCATTGAAAACAACCTAAATTGTGCAAAAGGAAACAATAGTTTGGAAGATGGAGAGGCTGGAAATGAAATAAAGGAAGGATGTCTGATCTGAAACATTTATGAGTACCATCATTACCCAGCGTAATACACTTACCATTTACAAATCAATAAAAATGATTTTTGTTTTGGAGGGTTGACATGGGGAAAGTGATGTGTGCCCATAGCAACCACTGAAACTGCCTGACTGGGAGCACTGGAACTGGAACCACACTAGTGGGAATACCCTTGGGTTATTATTCATTATTCCAAAGTCCTTGTGGCGAGTGGGGAAAACACAGTGTAATTGTGTGTTTGACAGTCTGAGCGTTGACCCACACTGGCATTCAATAGTTGTCTTCTGCTGCTGAATATGTAGATTTGGGGTGGGCGTGTTCTCCTGGGGGCAGTGCTGGGATCCCGCCATGTTCCCAATTTGATTAATTTGGAAAAACAGGAAATATTGTTTAAACTTTACAAGACTTAAATTAAAACAGATATAACATGCCTCTGTCTGCTATAGTGTTAATATAAAACACCCACGGCTTATTATCGTACTGTACATTCATCACATTTGACCTGGTCCCGCCCCTCCGCAAGTGGTTCTGCTGCTCATCTCTGTCCTATTATACAGTAAATACTCGTACACGTATGTAGTCTAAGATGAGGTAAGATAAGATAACCGTTATTTGTCCCACAGTGAAGAAATGTTGGTGTTGAGCACATACACCACAGTATTAGAAGCATTTATCTAATTTGTAAATTAGATAATTTACAGTCTAGCTGTCCCACCCATGGGCACAGCGGGGCCCGTGGTACTGCAGAAATTCATGTGGGCTACCCGGGAAAAAAGTCCCATAGATCTCAATGTAAACTTAAACAACTCGACCTCAGCTGACAGAGAACCTACAGCTTTCATGAAGATTGGATTTTGTGGGGATTTGAGTGTCCCTTGTCATCCTAAACTTTTTTTCTTCTTTAATCCTTCGGTTTTCTTTAGCATTTACTGCCATAAACTCTGCTCGTTTCCTTCCTGCTCTGACTCCGCTCTACCACTGCTCTGATCAGCTGCTCTGATTGGTCAGAATGCAGCCGAGCCCCTCTGTGCACGTGCATGAGAGCCACACACGCGTTTTTAGCGCAACGCATCATGGGAGATAATCCACTGCGCAGAACCGGGAGGACCAGACGATGCCAAAATGTAGCCGTTCCTCTGATATGTCAGCGCCCGTAAAGTCTCATGCGCTACTGAGAACAAGCCAGTCATTTGAATAGGGCGCCATCTTGGATCACTGGGGCTTGCAAGGAACACACCCAAAATAAACACTTCATAAAACATGCAAGCATGTATAAAATATATATCAACATATCATATCTTTTGGGCCAATGAGCCGATACTTTTTTATAGTGGCTGCAGCTTATATAGTAATGTGACTAGTATGTGTATCTTTTTTATGGCAGAGTTGTTAGAGCAGAGTTTCTAGAATTATGATTTTGACTCAAGTTTTAGTAGCTTATAGCACACTTGTTTATTGTCAAAATAGGCTAGTGAATGAGTGCAGGGATAGAATTTAACGGCGCAGCCGTTAAACACATCATCATTAAATCATGTTGTGACCTGTTAAAACAATCATTGTACATTCTCACATCAACAGGGGGAACAGACCTGGATGAATCAGTCCGTCTGAATACAAGTACTTGTATACAGCACGTAGGAGTACACCAAGCCCCGGCGATCCAAGATGGCGCCCTATTCAAATGAATGGTTGTGCTCAGTGGCGCTTTGTGACAGCATGGGGGCTGAAAGATTAGCGGAAGTTGCCGGAAACTCGCAAAGATCTATGGGAAACTCGCCTGTATTTGGGCATCGTCTGGTCCTCCCGGTTCTGCGCGGTGGATGATCTCCCATAATGCGTTGCGCCAAACACGCGTGTGTGGGTCTCACACCGGGTCTCACGCACGTGCACAGAGGGGCTTGGCCGCGCTCTGACCAATCAGAGCAGTTCATCAGAGCGGGAGTTAGAGCGAGAGCCAGAGGAGCAGAGTTTGTGGCACTAAAGTGTGGATTTAAACAAAACCGAAGGATTTAAGAAGAAAAAAAGTTCAGGATGACAAGGGACACTAAAATCCCCACAAAATCCGATCTTTATTAAAGCTGTAGGTTCTCTGTCAGCCGAGGTTGAGCTGTTTTAATATGCATTGAGTTCTATGGGGAAAATTTCTGGGTAGCCCACGTGAATTTAGTCTGGTTCAGTCTGCAGTACCGCGAGAATCCCCTGAGCACATGGGTTATTCAGCTACAAGCTAGTAATACCCTATCCAGTTAATATAATACATCCATGGAGTACACTTATACAGTCCATGATCCTAGTATACAGTGACGTGCGGTGAGGTTGGTGATAGGTGAGGCACTGACTTCACCCCAATCAGATGTACATATATATATCATATAAATCAACACGACCTATAGAGCGGCTTATTCACAATTTGTTTGGCTACAGCAAAATAGGTTTCATGCCCGCATTGTTTGTTCATACAAAACGCAAAAGTATGTATAAAGCACATTTTAAAGTGTGTTATGTGTCTTTCCTTAAACCTGAACTTCACAGACCCCTTCAGTTCAGACCAGTTTCATGTTTAGGTCCAGATAATAGTTTGAGTGTGGATTTGTAATCCTCCATTTGTAAATAAGTTCAATGAGTTTTAAAAAGTAAAACAAAACGGGTCTCTCCTCCAGCCGACTCTCGGGTGCATCCAATTTCTAAAATCAACCTTACCCTTCACCTCTCTTGCATATCATTCATATCATCATTGGAAGCATAAAATTACCCTAAGTGCATTTTAAATTATCAAAAAATGTGTTATATGTATGTTAGCCAAACCTGTAGCTGCTCTTAGCAGAAGAAGAACAAGAAAGGAGCTTTCTAATGAAATTGGATGCATTCAAATTCTGGGCTCAAGCGCCCCCTACCTTGAGGCTGGCCTCACTTGGTGATATTACAAGCCGTGGTCGAGTGATTAAGACTCATATTTGTTGTCAAAAACACAATTTATGACCCATCCTCTGTAGACAAGTAGATTGTAAATATGTTTGAACTTTGTGAACCGCGATAAACAGAGAAAACATTTCGATAGCAGCGCACGGGCCTCTCCCCCAGTGAGCTGTGGGCAAGGTAAAAAAAAAACATGAAATAAGGAAAAGTTACATTGAAATAATACTAAAGCACAAATCATTTGATACCAAGTATTATTGTTTCCATTTTATTCTTTTTTCTTTCCATGATCTTAGGTGAGGCCGGGCCTCACCTGCCTCATCTGCCTCACTGGTAGTATATCCTATCCACTAGAATTCACTATTCAAGCTCTCGAGAGACGGAAATGTGTTTTTTTTGTCATTCAGCACTAAAACCTGGATAAAGCATGTATACAAGCATTTGGGGATCTGTAATACTTGGATTCACATTTCCGTTACTAATTTGTTCTGGAAGCATAACTCTTGGGATCCCAAACCTCACTCGCTTCCGAATGTTGTTTTGCACGTTTTAAACACTTTACATGGTAAAGCGCCTCAATACATTAAAGCCAGGCTTTGACATCATAAATAATAAATGTTGTTGTCCAGAGAGAGTTTTGTAAAAGTAAAATCAGACCACAACATGCTGTTTGAAAACTTATTTTGCATATGATTAAGAAAGAGCCACATGAGTCATTATTGGACATTTTGGGTTCAACTAATTGGCTGAGTGAAGGTGGTCTTCTCTGTTTCACTTTTCTGTCTGAGCT